GTGGAGTCTATGATGGAGCGGACGAACTTGCGGACACGGTCACCCAGCACCTTGGCATTCTGGCCAATCTCCTTGATTTTCCTCTGCATGTCTGCAGAGAGAGGGGACACCTGAGCACACCCCAAAGAGTGAGGGTGGCCTGAGGCTGTCTGTTCCCCCCCAGGAAGGGCCCCTCCAGTCCCTCTGCCTCTCCCAGCCCCCTGCTCACTCAGCAGTGGCTCCTTGGCACGTTGCAGCCGCTCGGCCGTCTGGTTTTGGGCCAGTTCAGCCCCACATGACAGCGCCTTGGCGACCTGGGAGACGTTGTGCAGGAGATTGGCGCCAGGGCCTTGCACGGTCAGGCACAGCGCCAGCACCATGACCATCATCTTCCCCTCCTCTGCGAAGACAGGGAAGAATCAGCCTCATAATCTGACAGCAAAGAATCAGTTTTATAATCTGACAGCAAAGAATCAGTCTCATAATTTGACAGGGAAAAATCAGCCTCATAATCTGACAGCAAAGAGTCAGTCTCATAATCTGACAGGGAAAAATCAGTCTCATAATCTGACATCAAAGAATCAGTTTTATAATCAGACAGGGAAAAATTAGTTTCATAATCTGACAGGGCAAGAATCAGTCTCATAATCTGACAGGGAAAAATCAGTCTCATAATTTGACAGTAAAGAATCAGTCTCATAATCTGAAGGTTGTGAATTCGACCCTCACACAGGGCACCACTAATGTTGGTTTTTAACTTCTTTTTTGTTTCTGTTAGGGTGGGGATTGAAAGTGCTCAAGATGGTATTTCGTGTCAGAATCAGTCTCATAATCTGACTGGGAAGAATCAATCTCATAATTTGACAGGGAAAAATCAGTTTCGTAATCTGACAGGGAAAATCAGTCTCATAATCTGAAGGTTGTGAATTCGACCCTCACACAGGGCACCACTAATGTTGGTTTTTAACTTCTTTTTTGTTTCTGTTAGGGTTGGGATTGAAAGTGCTCAAGATGGTATTTCGTGTCTGGATTTAGATGTTTATTATTTTTTATCTATATTACAGTCATAAATTGTGAGTTCTACAGTATTTTACTAATAAATTGCAAAATGGTTTTTTATATATTTTTACAAGGTCTTTAAAGGAAAAATTATTGAATTAAGAAATTACACAAATTATTTTTATTTTTAACTCAATAACTAATCACTTCTGTTTTGCAATGTGTACTTTTTTGTTTAATTATAAAATACTACTTAAATTCATGAAGAAGAAGGGGAAGAAGAAGGATTAGCTACAGGCTTAAAACTTCTTAGTTTTATATGTATTACTATATTTTAAATCTTTAAACTCTAAGTTTTCTGCTACATGATATAACCTACTTCTATTTAAACTACACACTTATAATCTTATTATCAATCTGTTATATATAATTTATAATCTTAATATTAATCTATTATGCATAACTAATCTGCTACATATAACTCATAATCTTATTATTAATCTGCTCTACATAACTAATCTGTTACATACAATTTATAATCTTATTATTAATCTGTTATATATAACTAAGCTGTTATATATAACTCATAATCTTATTATTAATCTGCTCTACATAACTAATCTGTTACATACAATTTATAATCTTATTATTAATCTGTTATATATAACTAAGCTGTTATATATAGCTAATATGCTATATATAATTTATAATCTTATTATTAATCTGTTACATATATATTAATCTGCTATATATAACCCATAATTTTATTATTAATCTATTATATATAACTAATCTGCTATGTATAGTTTGTAATCTTATTATTATTAATCCATTATATATAACTAATCTGCTATATATAATTTGTAATCTTATTATTAATAATCTGTTATATATAACTAATCTGCTATATATAATTTATTATCTTATCAATCTGTTATTAATTAATTTTGGAAGCTTTTTTTATGGCTTTAGGTTCTCTTGAGGATCTGTGTTTTTCAACACAGAAAATTTAAATTTTTCAGTATCTAGGGTTCTAACACAGTCCTGGTGCTCGGCCAGGAGCCGGCATCCCCTGGCACCCCAGCTCCCACGGCTGCTCACTGGTGAAGAAATGCGGCAGCGCCAGCAGCACGATCATCCGCGTCTTCATGGAGAAGGCCATGCCCAGGCCCAGCCCCGCGCCCATGAAGACGGTGACGCTCAGGCAGTACCAGACATTGTGGCCCTGCACCAGCAGCACCAGAGCCCCGTAAATGCTGGCCAGAAGCAGGCCCAGGGTGAGGCCGCCGAGGCTGCGGGCGAACTCCCGGGCCTTGCTGGGCTCCTCCGGCCTGCGCTTGGCTCCGGGCTGCGGGGCCCGCTTCTTGCACAGGCCGGGCCGGGCCCGCAGGGCTCTGCCCAACCCCGAGACCAGCCTCATGCCCCGGTTCCTGCCGCTCCCTCCAGCTTTGTCTCGGTGGGATAGCAGCAGAGTGAGCGAGCAGTTTCCAACGAGCTGCACCGTTGGCAGGTGCTGCGTGACGGTTTCCGTTGCATTCAGAACCCCTTGGCAGTTTCAGTTGCGCTCTGCTGCAGGGGGTGTGTTGGTGTGAAAAATGCATGTTATATTATCGGCTTTTTGCAAATATTAAAGACGGTTTCTGTTGCATTTGGAACCCCTCGGTTGCGTCCTGCTGTGGTTGGTGTGCTGGTGTGAAAAATGTTAATTATATGATTGGCTTTTTGCAAATATTAGACAGTTTCTGTTGCATTTGAAACCCCTCGGCAGTTTCGGGTGCGCTCTGCTGCAGGGGGTGTGTTGGTGCGAAAAATGCGTGTTATATGATTGGCTTTTTGCAAATATTAGACAGTTTCTGCTGCATTCGGAACCCCTCGGTTGTGTTCTGCTGTTGTTGGTGTGTTGGTGTGAAAAATGTGAATTACATGATTGGCTTTTTGCAAATATTAGACAGTTTCTGTTGCATTTGAAACCCCTCGGCAGTTTCGGGTGCGCTCTGCTGCAGGGGGTGTGTTGGTGCGAAAAATGCGTGTTATATGATTGGCTTTTCGCAAATATTAAAGACAGTTTCCATTGCATTCAGAACCCCTCTACAGTTTTGGTTGCATTCTGCTGTGGTGGGTGTGCTGATGTAAGAAATGTGAATTATATGATTGGCTTTTTGCAAATATTAGACAGTTTCTGCTGCATTCGGAACCCCTCGGTTGCGTTCTGCTGCGGTCGGTGTGCTGGTGTGAAAAATGCGTATTATATTGTTATAGATAGATAATAAGATGATTGGCTCTCGCAATTAAAAGATAACTATTGTGTGAATACTAAGGAAAGTTTTAGTGATGTAGAGTTATGTTGTTGTAGTTTAGATGCCCTCTGTTCTCCCCACAGTTCCCTTTTCCCCCTGTGTTGTGACCATCAGACAGCCGGGGTGGTCTAGGACAGGTAAAAAGGAGATGTGCACGTGTCCCTTACCTGGGGCAGGTGGGAATGGAAAAGCTTGGTGCTTAGGGGGTGCGGCACGGCAACACCTGACCTCCAATCAAGTCACAAGAAAGCAATTTCCACTGATAAATGGCAAAGAAGAGCTGACTGACAGACTGTGAGAGGAGCCAGGGCTGGCTGATGCAAACCCCAGGGGAATAAAAGACTGAGCATCCACCTTGAAGATGAACTGGCCACGTGGTGTGCACAAGGTGCAGCTCCCAGCGCTGCAACTTCTTCCTTATGTAGTCCTTTGTTGTATTTTTGTTAAGGTTTAATAAACCTTTTTATATTTTCAAAGTGAGCAGTTGTTTCTCACAATATGATTGGCTTTTTGCAAATATTAAAATTAATATTATATGTGTTATGTTAGGAAGTTGTTCTGTATTAATTCCCTTATGTAGTGTGTTAAATATAGGTTATAACATAATGTTAAAGTAGAAACTGTGCTATGTAAGATACTCTTTAACTAGCTCTAGAAAGAGATGAGATAATCAATAAATTCTTCGCACAGAGATAACAGCAACAAGCCCAAGAAAAGAAATATTGCCTCCTTATTGGAAAAAACAAACTTTCTTCCACCCCCTCTTCGTCTTTGAGGCACCAACAGGATTAAGGAGGAGAAGCTGACAATAACCAGAGAACACCCTTTGTTTGAAAAGAATTTATGCACCATGTATGAGATATATGAATATGCAACAGGCCATTGCTTTTAAGAGTTAATGCTTTGTTGGCAAGCCATGCTTTTTTTGAGGAAAGCATCTGAACGTTCATAGTTCTTTGCTTTATTATCCTCACTCTGATTGTCCAAATTCTTATTGCTCTAATTTGTATTACTATTTTTACAACCATTTTATAACTATTAAACTTTTAAAAATTTTAAAACAAGTTTCTGAGGGGGAAAAAAAGCTTTCAAGGAAGCAACCTCCCTTGACAAAGACCAGTCACATAGAAGGAAAAAAGACCTGACACAATCTTTTTCTTAGTCTCCTTACTTATATTTGGTTTTAAAAAAGTGAAGGTAGGGATGTGTGGTGTCTGGGTTGAGAGGGTGGGGGTCTCTGCTGTCTGGGATGATGAAGGTGGGGGTCTCCACTGCATTAGGAGATAAAGGCAGGGCTGGTGACGGTGGGGTGTCTCTGCTGGATGTGGGGGTCTCTCCTGCCCTGGGAGATGGAGGCAGGGGGCTCTGCCCTCCGCGGTGGTGAAGGTGAGGGTCTTCAGCGCACAGCATGATGAAGGAGGGGTCTCCAGAGCGTGAGATGTGAAGGTGGGCGCCTCTGCTCTCCTGGGTGGTGCAGGTGGGGGTCTCCACTCCAGGGGATGATGAGGGCAGGGGTCTCGGGATGGGGAGGGGTCCCACCCGCAGCATCACCAGCGGTACCCCGGCCCCCACCAGCCCCTCCCGGCGCACAGGGAACACCCCCGCTCCGCCCCGGCCTGGGCGGTGCCGGAGGAGCGGAACGGGGCCACGGGGCTGGCAGGGAAGTTCCGCCCCCGGGCCGGGCCGGGCCGGGCGGGGTCGGTGCCGGTGCCGGTGGCGGTGGCGGTGGCGGGGCCATGCGCGACGGGAGCCGGCGGGGGCGGCGGGGCCATGGGGGCGATGGGGCCGCGGCTGCTGCTGGCCGCGGGGCTGCTGCTCGCCGCTGGCACCGGCAGCACTGCAGGTGAGCGGGGAACCGGGGTCCCGAGTGGGGTGGGGGGTCGGTGGGGAGCGCGGGGTATGGCGGGGATACCCACGGGGAGTGGCCCGGGAGGACCGGGATGGCATTGGGGCTCGTAGCCCCTCTGGAAGCTCGTTGCCACCTCGCCAGGATGTCCGGTGTGTCCTCCCGGTACGCTCGGTGCCCCGTCCCCGGGATGCTTGGTGCCCCCCGGTACTCTCCGTGCCCCCTCCCAGGGATGCTCGGTGCCCCCTCCCCGGAATGCTCGGTGCCCCCTCCCCGGGACGCTCGGTGCTCCCCCGGTACCGCGGTTCTGTCCCCTCGCTCCCCGGGCTGGTGGTGCCGTGCAGAGCGGGGTTTGATGCTCCCTCCAAACCCCATCCCAGGGCTCTGGGCGGGCAGGGGTTCCCCAAAAGCTGGCGGGAGGCGGGGGTCTGAGTCAGCCGAGCCGGGCTCCCAGCCCTGCCCAGTCTCTGTGCTGGTTGTACTGGGCAGCCGGCCGAGGTGATGCAAGGCTTGGCCGAAGAGCCCAGCCCGTCCTCCTGCAGCCCCCAAACAGGGGGGTTCCCCCAGGCTCTGCTGGGAGCCGTGCTGTCAGTGTGGGGGTCCCTGGCACTGCTTCCCACCTGTCCTGGGGGCTGCAGTGGGTGACTGCAGGGGGGCTGTAATGCCTTGGGTGACCAGACTTTGATGGGTGACCAGGAGGGTCCAGGGTGTAGGTTGGGGGTCCAGGGTATGCTGGGTGACCTTGGAGGTCTGGGTTGTGATGGGTGACACAGTGGTGAGGGTCTGGGCTGTGCTAGGTGACCTTTGAGGTCTGGGCTGTGTTGGTGACACAGTGGTGAGGGTCTGGGCTGTGCTAGGTGACCTTGGGGGTCTGGGCTGTTCTGGGTGACACAGTGGTGAGGGCCCTGTGCAGGTGACAGCTCGCAGCAGCAGCAGCAGCACAGTGAGGAATTAGGACACTCCTGGTCAGTGACCCCGTGGGTGCTGTGGGATAACCGGACACTCAGCTTGGCAGAAGCCACCCAGGTGAGCCCCACCCACATCCCTGGGGTCCCCCACACTTGGGACAGTGCCTGCACCCCGCCACCTCCCCCTGCCCTCTTCTCAGTGCAGGACATGCGGTGTCCTGGTGCCACATCCCCGGGGTCCCCAGCACCCAGAAGCAGTGGGGAGGGGGCCCCTCAGCAAATCCCCCTTCCCCTCCTGATGCTGGGAGGGACCTTTCTGGGTCGGGGTACCCACCCCGCGCCCCTCCCGGGTGGGGCGGAAGGGCCCAGCCCACCCCGCGGCCGTAGGGAGTCTCTGCAATGTTTCCGCAGTGCTGCAACAGGCAGGAAGAGCGGGGGGAACGGGGTGGGGGCCCCGCTCGGTCCAGCCCCCCTTTCCCTGACAATGAGCCCGGGAGGGAGGGACGCTTCCTGCGGGGTGGGCAGGGCATCCCTTCCCATCCCTTCCGACCTCTCCCTCCGGCACGCGCCAGGGCCAGGCGGTGCCTCTGGGGGTGCCTGGGGAGGGATGGGGCAGCTTGGGTTAGGGGGTACCCCCTTAACCCCGGCCTGTGCCAGGGGGGGTTCCCCGCCCGTCTGACAGTCCTGCTGGAGCTGGAGGGGGTGCGGCTGCTGCTGGAGCTGGAGCAAAACTGGTGAGTCTGTGGTTGTGGGGGTAACAGCAGGGTGTGGGATGGAGCTTCCGGACCCGTGCAGGGTGGGGGTCCTCCTGGGACCCTGGGGCTCTGCCTCTGTCCATGGTGCACTTAGAGTGGGGGTCCCTTATTCCCTGTCTCCATCCATGCGCAGGTGGGGTGGGGGCCCCAGGGTGCACCCACAGCAGGGTGGGAGGTGCTGAGTCCTCCCTTCCTGCTGGGGTGTGCTCAGGGCAGGGTGAGCTGGGGGTTCCTGCTGTGGGTGACACGAGTCTCTGGCAGGGAGCTGGTGCAGGGCACTGGGGCACTGCTCTATTACCTGCCCGATGGCACGCGGGCGATCCAGGAGCCCAGAGAGCAGGTATGGCCTCCAGCATGGCTGGCACCTGTGCTGTCCCCAGGCTGTCCCTGTTCCCCAGGGGGACCCCAGCCTGGGGCTGGATCCTGAGCCTCCTTCTCTGCTGCAGGAGCACTGCTGCTACCAGGGGACAGTGCAGGGCTTCCCTGGCTCCTGGGCCAACCTCTGTGCCTGCGCTGGACTCAGGTGAGCCCCCAAGCCCAGCGGTCTGTGAGCCCACTCCCACTGTGCTGATGATGGGATGGGCTCCATATCCCAGCTCCTCTGTCCTTCCCCAGTGGCCGCCTCTGGCTGTCAGACACCAGGAGCTACACACTGGAGCCAGACACCAGCAGTCCCGCAGGGCAGCACGGGGCATCCCACCTTCAGCTGGAGCCACAGAGCTGCAGGCAGGGCCCCCACCCTGAGGCAGAGGCAACAGAGCCCCCCTGGCCACAGAGGGTAGGTCACCCAGGGGTCTTGCCCCACAGTGTCCATGTAGCAGCACTCTGACCCCTCTCTGTGGTCTTTTCGGGGTCCCTGGATGGAGGAGGAAGGAATGAATGTGACTCCATGTTCTTAGAAGGTTAATTTATTATTTTTTGTTATTATATTATATTAAAGAATGCTATACTAAAACTAAACTATACTAAAGAATACAGAAAGGATACTTACAGAATGCTTAACAAGATAATAATGAAAAACTCGTGACTGACTCCTCAGAGTCCGACACAGCTGATGGTGATTGGTTATTAAGTAAAAACAATTCACATGAAACCAATCAAACAACTACCTGTTGGATAAACAATCTCCAAACTACATTCCAAAGCAGCAAAACACAGGAGAAGCAGAGGAGATAATTATTGTTTTCATTTTTCTCTGAGGCTTCTCAGCTTCCCAGGAGAAGAAATCCTCGTGAAGGGATTTCTCAGAAAATATGACGGTGACACCTTTCTGTCCCCAGGGCAAGCGGGCAGCGGCAGAGCAGCGCTTTGTGGAGCTGGTGATGGTGGTGGACCACGCTGCGGTGAGTGCTGGGCAGCGTCCCCACAGCAGGGGCTGCCCTTCCCACAGCCACCCCTGTGACCCCTCTCTGTTTCCCCAGTTCCAGAATTACCCCCAAACCTACAACGTGTTCACACCCGGACCCTGGAAATCGCCAACCAGGTGGATGTGGTGAGTCATGGTTGTGTGTGTCCATCCCTGCCCTTGCCTCTGCAGTGCTGGGGGGCTCAGCACTGTGTGCTCCCTGTGTGTGTGTATGTGTGTGTGACCCCTGTGTGCTCCCCCAGTTCTTCCGCCCGCTGGGAGTGCGGGTGGCCCTGCTGGCGGTGGAGGTCTGGAGCGAGGGTGACAAGATCGCGGTGGGCGGCAGCGCCCGGGCCGTGCTGGAGCGGTTCCTGCGCTGGCGCCGGGAGGAGCTGCTGCCCCGGCTGCCCCACGACAATGCCCAGCTCCTGACGTGAGTGAGGGACAGCGTGGGGACAGGGGGATGAGGCCGCAGCAGTCCCCCAACCCGCTGTGCTCTCTCTCCAGGGGTGCCCACTTTGATGATGTGTCCGTGGGGATGTCGACTCAAGCCTCCGTGTGTTCCCCCACGCGCTCTGGGGGGGTCAGCATGGTCAGTGCCTCTGTCCCCCCACCCCATCCTCCCACCAGCTGCCCTCCCTGACCCTCCTGTCCCACAGGACCACTCTGTCAGTGTCCTCGTCGTGGCCTCCACTGTGGCCCATCAGCTGGGGCACAACCTGGGCATGCGCCACGACAGCGCCGGGCGCCTCTGCGACTGCGGCGACCTCCGGCACGACCGCGGCTGCATCATGGCACCACCCACGGGGTGAGGGCAGCGGGCAGCCCTTCGGGGAGCTGGGGCCGAGCCCCTTCCTCTCCTCACCTCACCTCACCTCACCTCACGGGCCCCTTCCTGCCTCTGCAGGTTGACACCTGGCTTGAGCTTCAGCAACTGCAGCCGGCAGGACCTGGAGCGCAGCCTGCAGCAGGGCCAGGGCTGGTGCCTCTCCAATGTCCCCGAGCCCCAGCTCCTGACCGGGAGCCCCACCTGCGGGAACCACTTCGTAGAGCTGGGCGAGGAGTGCGACTGCGGCCTCAGCGTGGTACGGGGGGCTCTGGGTAGGCCTGGAGCCCTGAAGCCACCCCATTGCTCCATGGGTGTCTGGGGCTAACAGGGTGGTTTCCAGTGCTGCTGGCACCCGCTGACTGCAGCCTCCCCACTGCAGGAGTGCACCGATCCTTGCTGCAACAGCAGCTCCTGCCAGCTGATGCCAGGAGCTGCGTGTGCCACCGAGGACGCCTGCTGTGAGGACTGCCAGGTGTGTGGGGATGGGCACCCATGCCATGGGCACAGCAGCCACTCCCCATGGTGGGCGAGTGCCCCACTCACCCCGTTGATCTGACCATGTCCCCCACTCACTCTGTTTATCTGACCATGTCCCCCACCCACCCCATTGATCTGACCATGTCTCCCCACTCACCCTGTTTGTCTGACCATGTTCCCCACCCACCCCGTTGATCTGACCATGTCCCCCACTCACCCCGTTGATCTGACCATGTCTCCCCACTCACCCCGTTGATCTGACCATGTCTCCCCACTCACCCCGTTGATCTGACCATGTCTCCCCACTCACCCCATTGATCTGACCGTGTCCCCCACCCACCCCATTGATCTGACCATGTCCCCCCACAGCTGCGCCGTGCTGGCCACGTGTGTCGGGAGCCGCTGGGCGAGTGTGACCTGCCCGAGTTCTGTGACGGGCTCTCACCACGCTGCCCCCCTGACACATTCCTGCAGGACGGGCAGCCCTGTGCCGGCGGGCGGGCACGCTGCTACAGTGGGGCCTGTGCCACCTACGAGGGGCAGTGCCAGCAGCTGCTGGGGCCAGGTAGAGCAGGGCCAGGGTGGGGTGCTGGCAGCTAAGTAGGGGAGCTGAGGGTCTCTGCCCCCGCTGCAGGTGCCAGTCCTGTCTCCAGCTCCTGCATGGCTGCCCTGAACACAAGAGGAGATGAACGTGGGCACTGCGGGCAGCTCCCCAACGGCTCCTATGTCACTTGCACACAGCAGTGAGTGAGGTCCCCGTCCTTCTCCATGTCCCCCTTGCCATGCCCCCTGCCCTGAGCCCTCTGTCCCTGCAGGGACACCAGGTGTGGGATGCTGCAGTGCCAGCGCAGCAGCTCCCGTGGGGACAGCCCAGAAGGATCCTGCCAGGGGATCACCCTGCCTGGGGATGAGGATGTGACCGATGCAGCCATGGTGCTGCCTGGCACCACCTGTGGCCCTGGGAAGGTGAGAAATGGGGCGACAGGGAAGGGCCCAGGGGGACTCTCCCAGTGCTGACACCCCATCCCCCACAGATGTGCCTCCAGCACCGGTGCCAGGACATCTCCGTGCTGGGTGACCAGCAGTGCCAGAACAAATGCCATGGGCACGGGGTGAGTGCAGGGCTGGGGAGCGGCTGCTGGCAGTGGGGACCTGCCCCTCAGGGGCTGAGCTCAGCCATTGTCACCCCCCTAGGTGTGCAACAACCACGGGCACTGCCACTGTGAGCGGGGCTGGGCCCCCCCAAGCTGTGACAGCCCTGGAGTGGGGGGCAGCCAGGACAGCGGCCCTGCCGGCCTTGAACGAGGTGAGGGCCCAGGCGAGCGCAGAGAATGGGGCTTTGTGCGGGTGCCGGGGGGGGACGGGCACGGCGGGGGCTGACGTGCTGCTCTCCCGCAGGGGGAAGCGCCCTGCCCACGGCCCTGCTGCTGAGCGCGCTGCTGGGGCTGGCGCTGGCACTGGGGCTGTGCCGAGCCCGCCGTGCCGGCCTGCACAAGCACCTCTGCCAGCTTGGAAAGGGCACCTCCTGCCAGTACAGGTACGGGGGGACAGGGGGGCACGTGGGGGGCGCATCGGGGGTGTGTGGGGGGCACGTGGGTGTTGGCAGGCTCGCCTCTGCATGCGTGTGCCGAGGCACACCGGTGGCACGTGGCTGCCACGCTCACCTCTGCATGCGTGTGCCGTGACACACGGGTGACACACGCACTTCTACGTGTGTGTTGTGACACGCAGGTGGCACACAACCCCCTTGCATGCGTGTGCCGTGTCGTGCAGATGGCACGCCGGCCTCCGCGCGTGTGTGCCAAGACACGCAGGTGGCACGCGACACCTCTGCACGCGTTCGCCGTGGCACATCAGCGGCCTGCTCGACTCCGCTCGCTCGTGCTGTGACACACACACCTCTGCATGTGGCACGCAGGTGGCACGCTCAGTTCCGCACGCGTGTGCCCTGGCATGTGAGCACACAGGCACACGCGTCCCCCGTGGTGGCTGCCCGGGCGCTGTGCACACGTGTCCCCGCAGAGTGACCATCCATGTGTGTGTGTGCGTCCCCAGCGCAGGTCACAGCCCTGTCACCTCACATCCCCGCGGCTCCTCTCGCCCCCCAGCCCCGGGCTGAGCCCCCCACTCTTCTCCCCACAGTGCTGAGACCCGGGTGCGGTTCCTGGGTCCCGGAGCCGCAGACGGCTGGAGCGGGTAACGTCACCTCCGGCGCCCGGGCGTGGGGCTGTCCCCGAGCCGTCCTGCTTCGCAAGGCCTCCGGTGCTGCGCTCTTCCCCTGGCAGTGCCCGTGGGGTGCGGGGCAGCCCCGGGGTGCGGGGTGTCGCATCTTCCAGCGCCGAGGGGTTCGTTTCTCTTGGGCTTCTGCTGGTGTCGGTGTCGCTCGGTGGCCGTGCGGGGTCCCTCAAGTGCCCAGAGCGAGCAGGGTCTCATCCTGGGTTTTCCCTGCAGGATCTCACAGCCAGAGCCCCCGTCGGGCAGCAGCCAAGGGCCCCCTGCGCGTCCCCGGCCCCCGCAGTGGCGGCAGGCCACGGAGCTGCAGGTCATGCATGGCAGCAAGGTGAGGATGGGGGTAGCGGATGCCCAGGTCGCTCCATTCCTGGGCTGTGGAATCCCACTCCCTGGCACCCATAGCAGCCTGGCACGGCCACTTGGCACAGCCGGGATTGGAGCCCGTCCCAGCCAGGGCTGTGCACTGAGGGGGGGGTCTCTGTCTCTGCCTGGCGGGAGGGGGGTCTCCGCATGCTGCATGGCTTGTCCCCCCTCTCCCTCTCTCCGCAGCCGGCTGCCCTCGGCTCAGCCCGGCCTGATCCGCCCTCCCGGCCTCTCCCGCCGGACCCTGTGCCCAAGGTAATGCCCGGGCAGGGCGGGGGGTACCCCCCAGCCTACCCCGGACCCGCTGCATGTCTGGCTGCGCTCCAGCTCTCGGGGACTTGTGTGACACGGCCGTCCCCGGACCCCTCCTGCCCGGCGGGAGGCCGGTTCCCGCGCTCCCCCACTTGTCCCCCGCTGTCACACTGTCCCTCTCTCTCTGCCCAGGCCCCCCCCTCGGACAGGCCGCCCCCCCCCACACGCCCGCTGCCCGCAGACCCTGTGCTGCTGAGCGCTCAGGTAACGGCAGCAGCACCTGCGTGTGGGGCACGAGGCCGGTTCCCACCCCCCGAGCCCGCCGGGGGGTCAGCCCACCGCCGAGCTTTGACCGACCCCCCCGTGCCCTTGCAGCCCCCAGGTCCAGCCAAGCCCCCTCCACCGCAGCGGCCGCTGCCCTCAGACCCCCCGGGCCCTTCGCTGGCCCGCAGTGAGACCCCCCCTGGGCACGCCTATGTCACCGTGATTCCTGCCAGGTGAGCACGGGGGGACAGCCAGGGCTGGGGGGGCCGGGGGGGTTTGAGGGGACAATGTGGGGTGCCAGGGTGGGGGTCTGCAGAGGCCTGAGGGGAGTGCGGGTGGGGGAGAGCGGGTGGCCAGGAGAAATGAGGGGCCAGAACAGGGTGGGAGAGGAGAAAGGAGAGCGTCAGGGTGGGGATGCAGAGCAGGGGACGGGGGGAGCTGCAGGGGGAAGTTGTGCCGACCCCACCCTCACCCCATCGCCCTCCCTCCTCTTGCCAGGCCCGCCCCGGCCCCGCCAGAGGCCTGAGCCGCGGGCAGGGAATGCGCAGCGCTGGATCCGCGGGGAAGGCCGAACCCCGCTGGGCTCCGCCGCCCCCTTTTTCTCCCGCCACGTCAATAAAGGGGCTGTGAGCGCCTCTGCGCTGCCTCCGCCGCACCGGCACCGGGGCACAGCGACGGCACCGGGGGGGGGAGCGGGAGGGGAACTACAACTCCCGGCAGGCCCCGCGCCGGAAGGGACTCCCGAGCGCCGCCGCCCCCTGGCGGGGACTGCGCGCAGCTGCAGCGGGGGCGGTGTCCGGGGGCCACGTGGGCACGGGCGGGGTGAGGGGACATGGGGGGACACGGGGTGACACACGCGAGTGGGCAGGTGTGTGTGTGCCAGAGCTGCTCCGTGGGCACACGAGTGTGTGAGAGCTGCTCCAAGTGTGTGAGAGCTGCTCCAAGTGTGTGAGAGCTGCTCCGTGGGCACACGAGTGTGTGAGAGCTGCTCCAAGTGTGTGAGACCTGCCCAGTGGGCACAGGAGTGTGTGAGCGCTGTTCCATGGGCACATGCATGTGCTAGATCTGCTGTTTGGGCACACGAGTGTGTGAGAGCTACCCAGTGGGCACACGAGTGTGCCAGAGCTGCTCCATGGGCACACAAGTGTATGAGAGCTGCTCCAAGTGTGTGAGAGCTGCTCTGTGGGCACACGAGTGTGTGAGCACTGCTCCAAGTGTGTGAGACCTGCCCAGTGGGCACACGAGTGTGTGAGAGCAGTTCTGTGGGCACATGCATGTGCTAGATATGCTGTTTGGGAACACGAATGTGTGAGAGCTGCCTGGTGGGCATGCGAGTGTACAAAATCTGCCTGGTGAGCATACAAGTGTGTGAAAGCTGCTCTTTGGGCATACAAGTGTGTGAGAGCTTCCCAGTGGGCACATGAGTGTGTGACAGCTGCCCAGTGGGCACACGAGTGTGTGAGAGCAGTTCTGTGGGCACATGCATGTGCTAGATATGCTGTTTGGGAACACGAATGTGTGAGAGCTGCCTGGTGAGCATACGAGTGTGTGAAAGCTGCTCTTTGGGTATACAAGTGTGTGAGAGCTTCCCAGGGGGCACACGAGTGTGCGACAGCTGCCCAGTGGGCACACGAGTGTGTGAGACCTGCCCAGTGGGCACACGAGTGTGCCAGAGCTGCTCCATGGGTGCACGAGTGTGTGAGAGCTGCTCCGTGGGCACACGAGTGTACAAAAGCTGCCTGGTGAGCATACAAGTGTGTGAAAGCCACTCTTTGGGCATACAAGTGTGTGAGTGCTTCCCAGTGGGCACACGAGTGTGTGACAACTGCCCAGTGGGCACACGAGTGTGTGAGATCTGCCCAGTGGGCACACGAGTGTGCCAGAGCTGCTCCATGGGCACACGAGTGTGTGAGAGCTGCTCCAAGTGTGTGAGAGCTGCCCAGTGGGCACACGAGTGTACAAAAGCTGCCTGGTGAGCATACAAGTGTGTGAAAGCCGCTCTTTGGGCATACAAGTGTGCCAGAGCTGCTCCATGGGCAAACACGTGTGTTAGAGCTGCCCAGTGAGCAGGGACATGCATGGGAATGCCCACACAGGGGCACACGCGTGTGCAAGAGCTGCTCAGTCTGTGTGGGCGCAGGTGTGTGTGTAAGAGCTGCTTTAGGGGCACAGGTGTGTGTAAGAGCTGCCTGGTGGACAGAGATGTGTGAGTGTGAAAGCCTCCGTGTGTGCATAGTGACACAAGTCACACGTGGTCACACAAGGGGCTGCCACAAACGCACACGTGTGTGCAGGAGCTGCCTGGTGGGCACACTCATGGGCAGAAGTTGTCACCAACGTGGGCGCACACGTGTGCAGGAGCTGCTACACACTCATGGGCATGTGTGTGGGTAAGAGCTGCCCTGTGGGTCTGGACACATGCATGTGCAGGAGCTGTCCTGTGTGCTCGGGCAGGAGCTGCCACATGTTTGTGCAAGAGCTGTTTTCTGGGCAGGAACATGCGTGTGCAAGCTGCCTGCTAGCCCACAGGTAGACGTGTGTGTGCAAGAGCTGCCCTGTGTGCTCACCACGTGTGTGTGCAGGGCAGGGACCCACACCTGAACAGGCACAGGTGTGCAAGAGCTGCTCTGTGCGGGCACAGATGTGGCAGGAACACGTGTGAGCGAGAGCACGTTGGGCACACACGTGTGCAAGAGCTGCCCGGTGAGCAGGGACACGGGTGTCACGCGTGAGCAGGAGCTATCACACATGAGCACACACGTGTAGAGGAGCTGTTCTGAGGACACACACACACACACGTGTGCAAGAGCTGCCTGGTGGGCAAAGACACGGGTGTCACACCTGAGCACACGTGTGCAGGAGTTGTTCCAAGGATACAAACACACACACGTGTGCAAGAACTGCCCTGTAGGCTTGGTCACAGGTGTCAAACGTGAGCACACGTGTGTGCAGGAGCTCTTTGGGGACACACACACACACACACATATGTGCAAGAGCTGCCTGGTGGGCAGGGACACGTGGCCAGCAGCTGCCACCACCGTGGGCACACGCGTGTGCAAAAGCCATCCCGTGTGCACGGGTACACGCGTGCAAGAGCTGCTCGTGGGCACAGCCACGCGTGGGCAGGAGCTGCCCGGTGGGCCCGGGCACACGCGTGTGTGAGAGCTGCCCCCTGTGAGCTCCCCGTGCCTTCAGGGCCCGGTACCGGTGGCTGCCGATGCCCGGTACCGGCGCGGGCAGCCAGCGCTGCCGGTGCCGGTACCGGGGCGGTGCCGTATTGGGCCGGAGCCGCCGGTGCCAGGGGCGGTGCCCATGGATGCCCGGGGTGTCGGTGCCGGTGCCAGGGATGCTGTTACCGGGGATGCTGAGCCCACATGCCCGCGCACTGTTGGTCCCGGTGCCGGTGGATATTCACGGTACCGGCTCGGTGTCGGGCTAGGAGAGGTACCGGGGAGTTGCCAGGGATACCGGTGCCGGTGGATGTTGGCGGTACCGGGGTTGCCGGACTGGGGCGTGGCTGCTGGTGCCGGTCCTGGTGCCGCTGGCTGCCGGTGGGGAGTTACCGATCTCGGTGCTGGTCCCGATGGCGGTGCCGGTGCCGGTGGGTGCCGGTGCCGCCCGCCAAGGGTTAATGGCAGTCGGTGAAGTTGCCGGGCGGCGGCGCGGCGGGATTGGCCCGAAGTTGTCGGGGCGGGCCGGGCCGTGCCGAGCCCCGCCGGGCCGCCCACGGGACGGGACGGGAGGGGCGGCGGGCGGTGGGCTCGGGGGGGCGGGGCTGCTGGCCACCGGGCCACCGGGCGCTCACGGGCGAGACTGAGCCAGGGAGCACCTCCCGGTGGGACCGAGCCCCCGGGCATCCCCGACAGCAGCGAGCCCCCAGGTAATGCCGAGCAGGCGAGCGGCCCCCGGTGCGCCGAGCCCCCGGGCATCCCCGGTGGTACCTCCCGGAACCGAGCCCCGGTGGTACCGAGCCCCGGTGGTACCGAGCCCCTGTGGTACCGAAGCACCGGGCAGCGCTGGGCGTTGGGCAGCGGGTGAGAAGCCCTGGGGGTGCTGAGCTCTGAGCAGCACCGGGCACCCCCGGTGGTACCGAGCCCCGGGCAGTGCAGAGCCGGTGAGTGCCCCAGCTGGTACCGACCCCCGGTGCCCATGGAGGGCACTGAGCTCTGAGCACTCCCGGTGGCACCGAGCCGCTGGGCATCCCTGGGTGTCACCGGGGCAGCGAGCACACCTGGGTGGTGCTTAGCCCCAGGCACTGCTGGTGGCACTGAGCCCCGGGTGGCATCCAGCTCGTGAGTCTCCCTCAGTGACACCAAGCTCTGGGTGTTCCTGGGCAGCCCTGGTTGTCCCCAGGCCAGTGGGCACTCCTGGTGGCACCAAGCCCTTGGTGGCACCGAGATGGTGGGCAGTCCTGGTGCTGCCAATCTGCCGGTGGTACCCGCCTGTGCTGAGCCTGAATGCCCTTGGTAGCACTGAAGTCTGGGCATCCTCTCGTGGCATCAGGCTGGTGGGTGGCACTTCAGGGCTGTGGGTTTCCATGGTGGGGACACCCCAGCACCATTGGTGCTGCAGTTTGCTGTGAGCTTGGCTGTCACCAGGGTCTGGCTCCATCCCCCTTCCAGCCTCCTCCATTTTAGGTATTTCCCAGCTCGGGGCTTCTCAGGGAGCAGGAGGCAGGGTCAGGATCCTGGGGCCTCCCCACGGAGCTCCTGGGCTCTGGGCCTGCCGCACTGGGGCACACCGGCACATGATGGGCAGGGCTGGGGGTGCAGACGCTGCCTTGCTCCCACCCTGCAGCTGGGAGAGGTGAGACCCCACCAGCCATGGATGCCCCAGGAAGGGGGGCTCTGTGTGCCCCTCTGCTGGGTCAGGCAGGGCCCCGTGCCCCCAGCCCTTGGCTCTGCCCAGGCCCGTCCCAGCCAGCGTCACCCGTGGGATGCTCTGAGTCAGCAGGAGTCTGTGCTCCATCCTGCCCTCGGGGAGCCCCCAGCCTGAGTGGGGTGTTGGGGTTCAATGCCCCCTTTGCCAGCGCTGCCATCCTGCTGATGAATATTCTGGACTCTGCCAGAACCGTCTGTGAACACCAGCTGCACCGGGGCCAGCCTGGGGGCCGAGGTCTCCCTGCCAGCCCTTCTTTTCCATCACCCATCCCAGACGCTTAGGACCAACCGTGTGCACACGCGTGTGCACGTTCATGTGTGTGCACACGTGTGTGTGCCTGCACAGCTGCTCCACCCCGGCCTTGCTGTCGGCACAACCCTGAGCTCACAGCATCCCCAGTGCTGCACCCCTGCCCTGCCCGCCCCGTGCCCCCTGCCCCGGCTGCCACCCCCTGCCAGCACCGTGCGGGGCTGAAGCGTCCCCAGCACACGGTCCCCCAGCGCCGTGTCATGTCCGATCAGCGGCCAGGCGGGTGCCTGGGGCGAGGGGCTTTGTGCCTGGGCAGCGTGGCTGCACAAACCCCCCCGGCCGCGGTGGCCGAGCCCATTCAGCTCCAGCGGCCTGCGGCTAATCCGAGCTGATGCCTGGCTGTCGGGGGTTTTTTGGGAAAAGCCCAGCTCCCTGCTCCGCTGGGGCAGCAGGGCACCCCTCCTAAGAGACCCCCGGCTTGTCCTGCCCGGCAGGTTCCTGCGGGACGATTACTCCATCCAGGTGGCCATCAATGACTACCTGGACATCTACTGCCCGCACTACGAGGGGGCGGTGCCGGCCGGCCGGGCAGAGACCTTCACGCTCTTCATGGTGGATCGGGAGGGTTATCGCGGCTGCTACGAGACCCCCGGCGCCTTCAAACGCTGGGAGTGCAACCGGCCCCGGGCGCCCTTCGGGCCCGTCCGATTCTCCGAGAAGATCCAGCGTTTCACCCCCTTCTCACTCGGCTTCGAGTTCCAGCCGGGGGAGACTTACTACTACATCTGTGAGTCCCCTCCGGGAGCCGCGGGGGCTGTGCTGGGGTCACGGGGCGCTGGGTGTGCTCCCCGGGGTCAGAACATGTCAGGGGGTCTTGAGTGCAGCTCCCCAGGGTTGGGTGTCACCAGGATGCCCATGGAGCCGAGTTTAGGGTGTGTGGGGGGTGAGGCTACAGCCAGGATGCCACTGAGGGTGAGGGGGTTCTGAATGCTGAATGATGCCAGGGCTGAGGTGCAGGAGGCTGTGGGTGTCCCAAGGGTGGGGGCACGAGGGGATGGGGATGCAGGGGGTGTCTGGATGTCCTGTGGTGGGGTATTCATGGAGGTGTGGGGTGCAGAGGGGTTCTGGATTCCCATGGAGGGCGGCACAAGGGGATCAGGGTTAAAGGGGTTTCTGGATTCCCATGGAGGGGGAACAAGAGGATCAGGGTGAATGGGTGGGGTCTGGATGCCCTGGGGTGGAGGGTGTGTGAGGAGGTGGGATGCAGGGTGGGCTCTGGGTGCTCTTGCGGGGGGCACGAGGGCTCGGGGTGCCCCCGGTTCGGGGTGTCCCCGATTCGGGATACCCTCGGTTCGGGGTGCAGGGTGGGCTGTGCGTGCTCCGGGGTTGGGGCACGAGGAGTTGGATTCCCCCCGGTTCGGGGTGCAGGGGGTGTTTGGGTGCTCGAGGGTCGGTGCTGCCGGTTCGGGGTGCAGGTTGGGCTCTGGGTACTCCGGGCTGGGGGCACGAGGGTTCGGGGTGCCCCCAGTTCGGGGCGTCCCTAGTACGGGGTGCCCTCGGTTCGGGGTGCAGGGGGTGTCTGGGTGCTCTAGCGGGGGTCACGAGGGGTCGAGGTGCCGCCGGTTCGGGGTGCCGCCGGTTCAGGGTGTCCCCGGTTCGGGGTCCCGGGGGGGGCTCTGCGTGCTCCGGGGTGGGGGCGCCGTCCCCGCGTTCCGCCAGGAGGGGGCGCTCCCGGCCCGCGCGGAGCCGCCGTCGGGGGGTCCCGGGGGGGCCGCACCGGAGCCGGTCCCCGCTGACCCCCCCTGCCCAGCCGTGCCCAGCCCCGAGAGCGCCGGGCGATGCCTGAAGCTGCGCGTCACCGTCTGCTGCAGAGGCACCAGTGAGTCCGGCCGGGGGGGCTGTGCCCCGAAACTCGGGGACTCCACCGGTCCCCACTGGGGGATACCGGAGCCTCGGGGGCGGCTCCAGGTAACCCACGGGAGCCGGTTCCTGACATCGGTGGGTTTTTTCCAGCGCCAGAGCCGGTGACAGAGGTGCCAAATTCGCAGCCCCGAGGGCGCGGTGGGCCCGAAGGTGGGTACAGGGGTGGGGCTGGGAGCTCGGGGACCGGCTCGCCCTGACCACTGCTTCTGCCCTGGCAGATGTGGCTCCTGCCCGGGGCACCGCAGTGCCATCACAGCCCTGCAGCCCATGCCTGACGCTCGTGCTCCTGGCCCTGCTCTGGATCTGACCCCGGCGCTGCCCCTGGCGGGGGGATGGGCTCCTCTGCCCCAACGCCGCTTCCAGACTCTTCCTCCCAGCCAACCCCCCCGAGCCCGTGGGGCAGCCCCAGGCCATGACCCGCCTGCTGGACCTCCGCAAAGCCGAGCTGGGGCCGGGAGCTCCGGGCTGGAAGGTGAGGGGCAGCGGGGGCTCCGGGGCACTGGGTGGGCATCTGCCTGCTGCCCCGAAGCATCCCTGGACGGGGCTCTCTCCCTCTCAGGGCCATCGCATCGCCGCACGTCGGGATTGCCGCGAATCCGCGCGCTGGGATCGCCACACCCCGGCCCTGCCCCACCGGCCACCGGCCCGGCGCTGGGGTCCCCTCAGCGAACGCCCGCTCTGCCCCACGGCCACCACCTCATCTCGTGCCTTTCCCCACGGACCCCCTCCCCTGGGGCCCAGGGACCCCCGACCCCGGAGCGGGGCAGCAGCTCCGATGGCGGCATCCGCCGCTGCTGTGTCCTCCTGCAGCGAGGACACGCTCATCTGTCTTCTGGGAAGACGCCTTCCTCCGTGCCCTCGGTTTGGTTTTAACCCTTGGTAGTGACTGAGCAATACAATATTTGCAAGATCGCTGTGCCCCCGGCTGTGCAGCCCCCCTGCCGTCCCCCTGCCTGTGCCCCCCAACCCTGCGCGGGTGCCAGGACAGCTCCTCCAGGGTGTCCCTGCCCCTCGCTCCCTGCACAGCCCTCATGGCCAAAGGCTTCATTGCAGCAGTTTGATATTGTCATCAGCTCCTGTCACCGGAGAGCTTTAATTACAGATGAGCTGCTGGTGATTAACACCTGGTGGTGGGATGAGCAGTGGGACAGGGGGTGAGGGGGCAGTGGGCTTGGGGGTCACTCACCCAAAGCCCCCAGCCAGGCACCCTGGTCCCTGTTGCCACCTTTGGGCGTGGTTGGGGTGTCCACAGAGCAGACGCTCTCTGTCCATCTCTCCATCTATGCACTCCATAAGATGCCAGAAATGGGGGGTGCGGGGAGCTGCAGGGTTTCCCCCTTCCTGAGTGGAAGGGGGACCAGCGGGGGCCGATCCCATGGCACAGCTGTGTCCCTGTCAGAGTCACGGCTCTGCCACATGCCCCAGGCTTGCCAACCGGTGGGAGAGTTCCCTGATGCTCTCATCCCCCCATCCCGTGAGTGCAGCCCCCCACTTGCCCTCCTGAGGGGCTCGAGAGGGGCCCAACTCCCCCCGGGGCCGCCTGCAGCAGGGCCCCCCAGCCCCTCGCCGTGCAGGCGTTGCCGGCCGCCTGCCGCAGTGGTGCCGGGCACGTCAGACAGGTTTTATGGCTTCTGGGAGAAAGAAGCTGCTTGGCAAGAGGCTGAGCAAAAGCATCGACCGTGCCGCTCCCCTCCCCCCACGCGGCTGCCTGCCCTTCCCCCACTGCACCCCATCGTGCACCCCGTCCTGCAGGGAGGGGTGCCCCCTCCCCCTGGGGGACACGGAGGCTGCCTAGTGCAGGGGGGGCATCTCCTGTGGGACCCTCCCCTCCCCAGGATGGGCTGAGACATTCTGGGGGACATCATACCCGAGGGATCCCCGTGTAGGATGCTGGGTGGGGCATCCCCCAAAGTACCCACCTGCGGGGATGCTGGGGGGCAGTGGGGCCTGTAGGACCAGTGGGTGGGGATGTCAGGGGTGATGGTGACTTGTGGGACCCCCATGCAGGGATTCCACGGGACAGCCATGCCTTGCAGGACCCCCATGCAGGGATGATTGGGGGCTGTATCCTGCAGGACCCCCATGCAGGGTTTCCAGGGGGCTGTAACCTGTGGAACCCCCATGCACGGATTCCAGGGGGCAACCACACCCTGTGGAACCCCCATGCACAGGTTCCAGGGGACAGCCATGCCCTGTGGAACCCCCATGCAGGGATGCTGAGTGGGGGCATCCCCCAAAGAACCCCCATTCAAAGATGCTGGGGGACAGCAGTGCCCTGCAGGCTCCCTTTGCAGGGATGTTGGCGGGCAGTGCCTTGCAGGAACCCACGCAGGGATTCAAGGGGGGGGCTACCCATTGCACCACCCCTTCCCCAGACCCTCAGGCATTCCCAGACAAGGCCAAGGGGTCCCTCTGGGACCCCCAGAGTGGGTGCTAGGTCTGGGTCCTGTCCTTGAGCCAGAGTTATTTGGTATGCAGGAGCTGCCACCAGCTTCAAATCCCATCGACTTCCAATGAGCAATGCCATCAATAACGGCTAATTGATGGCGCGGCCGCTCCAAATCAGATTCCCCGTCCCCTGAATCCAATTGATGGCTCCGCACCCCGCAGCCGCCGCGGCAGAAATTGAATCTATTCAAGGAATGGGCTCCATTAGCCCATCCCTTCTGTCTCACCATCCCCCTGCCTCGGGGCTGCCCCTACCCCCCCTCCCAGTGCCACCCACACCAGCCGGGGTGCTGGGGTGCCCATGGGGAGGAGTGTGGAGTGAGGATGTCGGGTGCCCCAGGTGGGTGGGAGTTAAACCTTCAGAAAGAGAGAAGGAAAAATTTATCACCTGGAATAGCAAGTGATGGGAAATGGTAATAGGCAGCACGGAGATGGAGAGCAGGATAAAGAGCCGTGTCGTGCCAGGGGCTGGGAGCCACAGCAGCCACTGAGGAGGGAGCACAGCGTGGCTGGCTGTGCCCACCCCATGGCCTGGCTCACTGTCATAACAGGGACTGTGGCACTAGGATGAGCCTGCTGGGCACAAGCCCTTTAGCTCTGTGGTGTTCCCACTCCTGGCAGCAGATCCCTCACCCAGCCACGCTGCCCCCACCCAACCCTGCTGTGGCAGGGGCTTCAGCATGCCCCAAACATCCCTCATCACCCCAGCACGAGGATGAGGTCAGGTTCTGCAGCTGTCCTGGGGTAGCCCGAGGACACACAGAGGACACTGGGCACGGTAACCTGCCCCGAGGGATGAAAGGGGGGAGCACAGCCCCCCAGGGTGGTGGGGCTCATCCCTGCCTGTTCCCCATGGGCGAAGGGCAACGGCAGCAGCGCCCACCCCAGAGCTGTCGAGAGCATCCCGGAGATGGGAAATGGCTCCGTGTCACCATGGAAACGGGGCCACTGGCTCGACATGCCGAGGGGACACGTGTGCTGAGGGGACACGCACGCTGAGCCCTGAGCAGCAGGGCACTGGGAATGCCAGACATTGGGCACCATGGACTGGACACCGGGCACTGGCCGCAGGACTCTGAGAGCCCATCACCCACCTCGGACCAGCTCCCTCATTACCCGGCAGCCACGGGCACTCTGAGGGATGCCACCTCTTTGCGATGCCACCTCTTCGCGATGCCACCTCTTCACGATGCCACCGTGGCCGGGCAGCTCCACAGTCCCACAGCAGGGCTGAGCAGGGGGCGTGGGGGCCGGAGCGGCCGTTCCCGAGCAGCCGCCTGATGATACGCATCGTCAAGGTTATAATTTAGCAAAACACTCAGCGGGGGCTTGGAGAGAGCTGGCCCGCGCCGCTTAATTAACCGGAGCTGCACGCACCGAGCCCGCTCCTGCCATAGCAATGAGGGTGCGGGCACCGGGCTGGCGCGGCACAGGCGGGGGCTGGCACATCCCACCTGCATCCCCAGGGCTGGGCGAGCAGCTGGCCAGTCCCAGCTGCCCAGCTGGGAGCAGCGGGCACTGATGTTTGTGTCCACTCCAGGGACCAGGGTGGCAGTCGGTGTGTGTGAGACAGCCTGGCACCGGTGGGTGTGCACGTGCAGGGGTGTAGGCACAGATGTTGCCTGTGCCATCACTGTTCCGGGCCAGGGTGGCTGTTTGTCCATGCCTGTGTCCGTCTGTCCTGTCATTCCTGTGCCCTTGCATGAGCCGGAGTGCACTCCCAGTGTGATGTAATCTTGCTGGACAATAATCCTGATGGACAATGCCAGAGCAGGGATGGGCAGGAGCTGCCCTTGCTGCCAGCTCTGCTTGGACCTGCTGCAGACTGAGACCCTGCATGGTCCCCGTGCCGGGACAATCTCTGCATCCCTGGGGAGAATGATTAGGACTTCAGTGGGTGGGTGCAAATGACACAGGGCACCACCCCAGCACAGTGCCCCTGTCTCCAGGGCAGCCAGATATTGGGGGCAGAGGCTGGGGCAGGTGCCCATCCTGGGCAGCACCTCCCAAGAGGATGCTGAGGTGCTCTGTGCCAGGGTGCCACCAGGCTCACGCCACCTGAGCTGCCATCCGGCCTCTGCAGTGGAAGGATGCTGTGGGGATGGTGGAGGTGGAGCCCTGGAGTGTCTTGGGCCCTGCTCCTGATATCCACTGATCGGCCCTGTGCTCATTTGATCCTCAGGCTGCTAACGAGCTTCCCCTGCAAAGAGCTCGTTAGCCACGGCAGAGTCTGGAGCTGCCTGACCAGCACCAGGGCAGCTCCTCAGGTTCCTGCAGTCCCAGCCCAGGGACAGGGACAGGACAGGCCAGTCCCAGCAGCTGGCAGGAGCTGGTGTGGCCAGCCCGTGGCCAGAGGCAAGTGCAGCACAGCGGGGTGGATGCTCTGAATTATTGAGCGCAGGAGCTCAAAGTGGCTGAGAGAGCAACACCTGCATGGGGGGCGCAGGGCCATGCTCACAGCCAGGCATGGGACCCCACCTAGCCCAGATGGAGCAGCTGGGCACTGCCAGGCTGCAGGGACACTGCACCCACCCAGGGTCCTCTGCCAGCCCCTTGGGTGGTGGCTGCCAGCAGCACAGGGCACCCCACACCTGCCAGCACCTCTTGGTGCTCTCCTGGCCATCCCCAGCCCCTCCTGCCCTGTCCCCTGCCCAGCACCCAGCTCCCATCACGTAGCCAGCAGCACAGGCCTGGGGTGACTGCAGCCAGCAGAGGGAACCCCCATTTTCTGTGCGCCCCCAGCCCCTCTCGTGAGCCGTTTCCAAGCGATGCATTATTGAAGCCCCCCCGTGCCCTCGCACGCGGCCGGCGTGACGGCAGGCGCCGCCTCAGCCCTGATGAATATTTCAGGCCATGAAATCTCCTGCGCCTGCACGCTCAGCCCCAGTCCCCCCCTGCCCCCCCAGCTTATTGGCTCCTTTGTTTCCCTGCGCTTCTGCCCAGCACCACGGCCACGGCATGGCAGGGGCACGGTGTCACCCTGCCCTAATCCCTGCTGCCCTCACCCCACGCGTGGCCTGGAATGGCATGGGAATGGGCTGTTCCTGAGGGGCAGAGCCACACTGCCAAGCTCAGTGCCAGCTGGGGGCTCCTAGGATGGCTCCTGTGTTTCCTGTGCCCATCCCCAGCCCTCATTTGGGCCTGAGAGACTGCAGGTCCCCTGGCACCATCACCTGCAGGGTCAGGGCAGAAGGATGGGGACAACCTAGAGCGCAGCACATTGTGGGTCTGTCCCTGGCACCTCCCAGTTCACTGCCACCTCTGCCAGTGCTCCCAGATGCTGATTGTGCCGTGATCTGTGTGTGGTGGGAGCAGGATATCGATGCTGCTTGTCACTCCTTCATCAGATTAACGCCACTTACACAGCACCAGACACCTCACAGGGGACACCAGGATGGCATGGCCAGGATGAGCAGAGCTTGTTCCAGGGCCAGTGGGGAGCCAGGCGCTGCGGCTGGCAGCCACAAACCCATCACTGGTGTCCTTGTCCTCTCCCCAGAGAGTTG